AAATGAGTAAAATAAAGATAAAATAAATAAATGAAGAAAATAAAAATAAAAAAATAAATAAACAAAACAAGATCAAATAAATGAATCAATCAATAAAATGAAAATAAAAGATAAATAAGAAATATGAATAAATAAATAAATAATAAATAAATAAATAGATAAATAAGTAAACTCTAAATAGAATGAAGAAAATAGAAAATAAAAATAGATAAATAAATACAATAAGAATAGATAAACAAAATAAGATAAAATAAAATAAAATAAATAAATATACAAAATAAAAATGTATGAATTAATCAATAAAATAAAAATAAATAAATAAATAACAACACAAAAATTAATGAGTAACTAGATAAAATGAAAATAAGTAAATAAATAATGACAGCTCCAGTTAATGAAGCGATGATAGTGATAATGAAGACAAGATTATGGTGATGCTGATAATTAGTGATTATATATTATAATCTTATTCAACCCTCTCCCTTATCCCCCGTCTCTCATCCTCTCCATTTCCTTTCTCCCTCTTCCTTTTTCTCTCTCCTTCCTTTTCCATTTTCCGAATCTTCATCCTCTCTTCTTCTTTTCTCCTTCTTCCTTATCCTTCTCATTCTCCCTCCCCCCTACCTTCTCCCTCTTTCTTTTCTTCTCCTTCTCTTCTCTCGTCTCTCTTCTTCCCTCTTTCTTTTCTTCATGATGATAATAAAGAAAATAATAATGATAATAATAATAATAATGATAATGATAAATATAATAATAATAATAATAATAATAATAACAACAATAATGATAATAAAAATAATAACAGTAAAGAGAGTGATGAGGATGATAATGATAGTAATAACGATAACATCAAATACAATGATAGCGATAACAATGATGATAATGATAACAAATGATGACAATAACAATGATAATAAAAGTGATAACAAAAACAACGTCAATAAAGCGCTACAACAGGTTACCACTTCAATGTTGCAAGAGGTCAACAGTGCAACATCTTATATCCTAACCTCTTTAAAAGACCAACGGGGCGGGGGGCGGGGGGAGGGGAGGAGGAGGGGGTGCACACCGACTTTAATTACCCCCCAGCAAAAGAGACGAGATTAATTGGTAATTAAGTTCGGTGTTAACTTAAGAGCGTCGGTGAAAAGGCATTGCGGATTGGAGCCACATTTTTTTTTTTTTTTTTTTTTTTTTGCCACTTTTTTTTTTTTTTTTTACTTTTTTTTTTTTTTTTTTTTTTTAGCTTTTTTTTTTTGCATGGGGAATGCGTGAGTGACTTTTAAGTGTGTTGAGGATATTTTGGTGATGAAGATATTATTTTTTTTTTTTTTTTATTATTATTATTATCCACCTATTTTTCGATGTTGATTTATTATCATTATTTATTTATCTCCTCCTCTCCCTCCACTTATCATTTTTCTCACCTCCCAGTACCCCCTCCTCCCTCCCATCCTTTTTCCCTCTCTCTCCCCCATTTACCCTCCCATCCCCTCCCCACCCCATCTCTCACTCCCTCCATCTCGTCCTCGCTCCCCTCTCCCCTCCCACTTTCTCTCCCTCCCTCCTTCCCTAAACCCACCCTCCTTTACATCTTTCCCCTCCACTTTACCCCCCTCCCCTCCTCCTTCCCTAAATTCACCCCCCATACCCTTCCCTCCACTTCCCCCTTTCCCCTCCTTCCCTAACTCACCCCTTCTCCCTCCCTCCCTCCCTCCTTCCTCCCTTTCCCTCCTCCCTCCCTCCTTCCCTAAACTCACCCCATTCCCTCCCTTCCGCTCCCTCACTTAGTCCCTTTCCCCTTCCCTCCCTTCCTCCTCCCTCCCCTCCCTCCTTCCTTCCCTTCCCTCCCTTCCCCTCCTTCCCTCCCTCCCTCCTTCCCTCCCCCCCTCCTTCCCTCCTCCCTTCCCCTCCCCTGCCCCATCCCCCTGCCTACTTCGTCCCAAAATGCTATTATGGAATTCCGCAACCCTGCCGACGGGTTTACCAAATTTCTTTAGGATTTACTGCAATTTCCGAGTCACTCCGCCTCCGAGGATCCCAGAGGCGTCTCCCTTCTCTCTTTCTCCGTCTTCTCTTCTTCCTTCTTTCTTTCTCCGTCTTTTTTTATTTCTTTATTTTTCTCTATTCCTTTTTTTCCTTCTTGCTTCTCTATTTTCTC